GAATTAATAATATAATTTAACAATATATAATTATTTATAATACAATTGTATATAAAATACATTTTTTTCGGGACAGTTTATTTGCACAATTTTTTTAAAATATTCAAATAGGTAATTTAAGTATTAAAAGGCTTTTGGGCTAACGCTTGTTGCCTTATGCGGAAATAAATATACAATCACATAAAATAAAAATTACAATCAAATCTATTTAAAAATTTCGACCTTTAATCTGGTCCTTTAATCTGGTTCGATCTTTAATCATCATAAGTTGTTGTAAAAATCACTGATGATGATCAAATTAAAAGTAGAAACGTTTGTGATTAAATTTTATTGTAATTTTTGGATATCACATAAGCATAATAAACATAATAAAAAACAGCGACTATAATTGTATATTGAGAAATGGGTTCTTCCTTGGCTCCTTTATTCTATGAATCTCGGACAGACCTGAATTAAGGCGGAGCCTTGGCGCCTATCCTTTGTTATTTTCGCTCCGTCTCGCTCTACTGAGATGACGGAGAGGGGGAAGCGTTTTCGACTCACGAGCAAAGTGTTGGACAGGCCTGCTCTAGAGTACAACCCAATGACTTTACTCGATATTTCCGAACGCAACCGGTAAGTCAGTTTTGTACGACCCGAGTTAATTTCCGAACGGCGGTTGGTCAGATTTCTACTCCGAATAGGATTTCCGAACGCACCCCTAGGAGAAAAATTACACGAGTAATCTCCTACGGTGCGTTCGGAAATCTTACTCGGAGTAGAAATCTGACCAACCGCCGTTCGGAAATATCGAGTAAAGTCATTGGGTTGTACTCTAGAGTAACTTTTTCAACCTCTGAATTTTCAGAGGTTAACAGAGTAAATCCATCCCACTATTTTAGCGGAAAGTAATATGGGCGAAAGTGAACGAAAGATGGAACAAAACGAAACTATCGTAGCATCTCTCGTTGATTCAGTTGTGGGACGTCATGTTCTCCATATCGTTTGGAAAACGGAGATTTAATTATTGAATTAATATTTTAGATTCAGACATTGTTGTTACCTCAGTCTTATCCTATGCGTTCGGAAAATCGTGCTACTCAGATCGAGTTTTACGTTTACCCATACCCAACTTTATTTTACCCGACGAGTAGATTTCCGAACGCACCCCTAAGAAGACAGCGTCACGTGACCAGTTTGCCACGCTGTTCCTAGCAATAATCCATCGCGATGACGTACGTACGTACGATTACAATTTTCATTATCCAAATCCAAATATTTTAGTACCTACATAAGTAGTAGATTTATATAAAATAAAATTAGCAGCTTGTTGTTTTCGACTTTTCATCACCGAGACATTCTTTTATGTATTAAAATAAACTAATAAAATATAGTATATTTTACGCTGCTTATATCTTTTTCTTTTCTTATTTTCTCTATTTTTTCGTTCTTCTCCATTTTTCTTTTTTGTTCCTTTTATTTAAGTACCTAAAAAGTACCTAAATTTTCGAATACTTTTTTCTTATATCAGTATCTATACTTAAGTAATTATTAAAAAATGTATCTATACTTATACCTAAATACTTTTTTCAGACAATACTTATACCTATAACTAGATAGTTTTAAACGGTCTGTTCCAACACTGTATGTAATTCTGCAATACATAATTTCATAAAAACGCCGTATTAATAAAAAAAAAGAACGTTCTTTAAAAATAATATAATTATTTTCATCTTTTAAAAGTGGATACTAGTAGAAACTAAATGTTTATTTGCAAAGAGAAAACAGTTATGACGAAAAATGACAGTCTTGATTTTTTTGGCTACTTTCCACGCAATTTAAACATTGTTAATTTTAATTTCACATTTACATTCAGCATATAAAATTCCATTGAAAATGACCATTGTACTTTATTTTCAAAAAATAGTGAAGATTAGACAAACGAAATCATGAAATCGCTACATGGCATCGGAAACTAGGAGCTTCAACCTAAATTTTGGTACCCTATATTGCCCTATAAGTTACGTTTGGTTTTATTATAGTTTTCGAGAAAGTGTGGCCCATTTGACGTAGAACCAAGGGAATAATCCGCCATATATACAGGGTCATCGAAAAGTATCGGACTCCCCTAATATCTTCAGTTAGAATGCATTTTGGAGAAAATGTCCAATAGCAAAGTTGTATGGTTTCAAGCGAGGAGTAAGATGGCCTTGACTTTGATCTTGACCATGTCCTTTAAGGTCATTTCGAGGTCAACCTTATTTTTTTAAATGGAACCCCCTACATTTTATTGCATATTTTTATAGCTTATCTCGAGAGCTTTCCAAAACACTATAATAAAACATTTTTTCATTGAGTACTTTTTGAGTTATAAAGGTCTGAAGTTAACAATTTTTTGACACAAAATGTAAAATATCTTGTAAAATATTATTTAGTTTTCAGTAATCTTAACCTTAATACTTTTGTGCGCGGAATAATGAGACCAATTAATTGGTTTAAAGAAAATACATTAATCAAAAAGTGTCGGATCCCGCTAATATTTTCAGTAAGAATGCATTTCAAATCTTTATAACTCAAAAAATACTTAATGAAAAAATGTTTTATTATAGTGTTTTGGAAAGCTCTCGAGATAAGCTATAAAAATATGCAATAAAATGTAGGGGGTTTCATTTAAAAAAATAAGGTTGACCTTGAAATGACCTTAAAGGACATGGTCAAGATCAAAGTCAAGGCCATCATCTTGCTCCTCGCTTGAAACCATACAACTTTGCTATTGGACATTTTCTCCAAAATGCATTCTAACTGAAGATATTAGGGGGATCCGATACTTTTCGATGACCCTGTATATTCGATAATATATAATCAAATATATAACGGTGTCCCAAAACTGACGATACATACTTTAAAGACAGACTTTTTGTAATATTTTAAGACAATAAATCCAATACGAAAATGTCGAAGCTATAATGATTTTTAAATCTGAAAAGTTTAAAAATTATGAATGACAAAGTTAGTATTTCGCGCGCTAGGGATGGCAAGTTAATCGATGCGAAGGTAGCTTCATGCCTTTGATGATAAGAAAATTCAGCACTTTATAGTTCACACCTATCATTTTTCCATTCTTCAACGCGCGAAATTCTGGCCCTGTCATTCGTAATTTTTAAATTTTTCTCCTATTGAAAACTTTCTTAGCCTCGAAATTTTCATATTAGATTTATCATCTTAGAATATTGCAAAGAATGTGTTTAAAATATTAGCAATTTTGGGATGTATACATACTGTTATGTATACACTCTATATACATAAAAAATATATTTGACAGATATCTATCTTGTTTTAATATTTTTTAAATTTATATTCAGCAATGTCATTAGCAAAGTTTAAAACGCAATAGAATCAATGATTTAGTCGATTTTTTTACTTCGATATTTTGTAAATTATAATAGAAAAAGCCAATAAAGCCAATAAATGATATATTAAGACCATATTTAAGACCACATTATGTGAATACTGATTGTGTATTCACATTATATGGTCTTAATATATCATTTATTGGTTTTATTGATTTTTTCTATTATATTTTACATAATATGAAATCATCAAGAAATCAATTAAATAATTGATTCCGTTTCGTTTTAAGCTTTGTGTGTGTGTGTGTGTGTGTGTGTGTGTGTGTGCTGATGATATTGCTTACTTGTTAGTAAAAGATAAAGCTAACAATAGTCGAAGCTGGATCTTAAGCGCTTAAATATTCTCATGCGAATTTACTTATTATACTACATACGTAGTCATTTGAACTGCGCGTCGAATTGATTTTTTAGACGAAAGATGCGTTCGGGGAGACGCTATTAGCGCTATTTGTGTAATTATATCCTTGATTTACGTCTAATAAACAATAAAGATGGAATGACAGAAGTAACGCTAATAGCGTCTCCCCGAACGCACCATTAGAGACACAACTGAACTACTGTAGTAATATCAAAAATTAAATTGATAAGCAATTTAATAATTTGATATTCAATTAGGGATCCTATTAGAAAAATCTTAACATGCTGAAAATCTGTAAATAAATTTATTGCGAAAAATATTACCTCGGCCGAAAGTCGAACCTGGATCTCTCAGCATTCTGTACGAGAGTTCCATTGCTTAGTTGTCTAAAGGCTTAAAGCCCCATCTAGATGAATTGCAACACGCATTCGCATTCGCAACAACCAATTATAGCGTATTCGATTTACTGACTCGACCCGACTCCAAATCAACAGTCTGTTCTTTTTAGCTGCATTTCTTGTATAATTTAGCTCTTCTTTTGCAGCTAAACAGAACAGACCATTGACTCGGAGTCGGGTCGAGTCAGTAAATCGAATACGCTATTAGTCATTAGTATAATTACCGTATTTCTGATTGGCTGTCGTAAATGCGAATACGAATGCGATTTACATGCTGCGACTTGTTTAAATGAGACTTAAAGGCCATTCTACATAAGATGCAGAACACGGGTCGCAGGTCGCAAAACTAGAAACTAACCTAACCTAACGTATTTTAATTATGATATGATTGTAGGACGCAGAACGCAGGACGCAGAAAGTTGGGTCGACTTCAACTTTCGCGTCCTGCGTTCTGCGTCCTACAATCATATCATAATTAAAATACGTTAGGTTAGTTTCTAGTTTTGCAACCTGCAACTCGCGTTTTGCGTCTTAAGCCGGTTCTACATTAGTTGCAAGCCGATCATAAGTTTGTAGCGACGGCCAATCTGAAGCTTGCATTTTGAAATCAACGCTTCATATTGGTTATCGCAACAAACTTACGATCGGCTTGTAACTAATGTAGAACCGGCTTTATGGAGAATGGCCTTAAGACGCTTACGCGGGATACTGAGAGATCTGGATTCGACTCCCGAGATAATATTTTTCATAATAAAATTTATAGTTTTTCAGCATATTGAGATCTCTCTAAGAAATTCCTAGAATGCCTGATTAAGTATCAAATTATTAAATTGCTTATCAATTTAATTTGTGATATTACCACAGTAGTTAAGTTGTGTTTCTAAGTCCGAAAAATCAATTCGGCGCGCAGTTCAAGTGACTACATATATTGCATATGACTGTAGTATTCACATGAAAATATTTAAGTGCTTAAGATCCAGCTTCGATTATTACAGACTTTATCTCTTATTTGTTGTATATTCAATAAAGCTAGACAAATTGGTCTTCATAATAAATTTAAAACGCATACCGATTTGCACACACAGAAAGTATTACTCTATTTATTATACGATAATTTCAAATGCGTTGATTGGCTGTGGAAAGAGAAATTCTCAAGTCTTCAGAAATTCTTTGTCCTATTCTTTAGCCAATTAACAAATTTGAAAAATTTATTCTACAAGTGAAATAATAATTTAAGCTAGAATTTCTCACGTAAGAGTGCGGATATTGTTTAGACAATTTTTTATTAATCCGCCATGTTTCAGGATAAATACAAAAAAATTGTATTTTATTATTTATTTTACAGATTTATTATGGTACTAATAATATTGTGTAAAGTGTTGAATTAAATTCATCTTTTTAATAACAACTCTTATAAGAGAGATTTGTCATTAAACAAATTTGAACGTTTTTTAAAAACATATCAGAACTTGAAAATCACAGAATGTATATCCAAAATTTTTACTCGAGAAATTCTGTTCTAAAACGAGGTATTCTGAGCATTAATTTGTAAAACAGTAAAATCTTTCTATAATGGGTTTTCTACAATAAACCATAACTTTATCTTTAAGTCTTGAGCTGTAATAAATTGATTAATCATAAACGATTATTCTTCTCACATTCGACTGTGATTGGCCAATTTTTTATGGCTTAAGACTTAAAGCTTAGGTTATGGCTTATTGTAGAAAGCCTATTACAAAACGATCGGAATTGAGCTTTCCATATTCTGGAATTTTTCAATCTGTACTTTTTATTTAAATAGTATATAAAATTAAAATGTCATTATGTGTCCTTTCATATGTTTTCTGAATTAACGCACTCTTTATTATGTAGCGAATGTATAGTGAAAGAGCATACAACAGAAGAATTCCAGTTTATCGAATGACAGTTATTTAAAAATTCAAAAATGCACAATATAATGCGTGGTCTACAATCGCAGTATCAGTAATGGATGAGACTGTAAGAGTAAAAAATTGATCAATCTCACAGTCGATTATTCTTCTCACATTCAACTGTGATTGGTCAATTTGTTACTTTTACAGTCTCATCCACTATTGCTACTATCATTGTAGACCACGCATTAGAGCTTTGTCTATACTATATATATTTCTCTTTCAAACCTAATACTTAAAAAATTTCATCGAATTTGAAAACATGATACTGTCTTTCTAAAAAAAAATCAATAGGAAAAAAGATATTTATTTTTTATATAATTTTGATAACATGTATAGTTTTAAATAGAATTTATTCAAATTATCAATATTTTGATAACCTAGGGAATGACAATTTTTTCAAGACAAATTCTTTTATGTAAAAAAAACAAAAATTTGTTAATTCTCGTTTAATTTCTTAGCATATCCGCTGTCTTTAATTTTAATTTATTACAATTATAAGTTAAAAGACTATCAATTTTATTAAAAGATTAACTAAAAGAGAGATCAAAATATCTCATGATGATTAAAACACCTCATACATACGCGCTTATCAGTTGAAAAAAGGAAAGAGAAAAAATAAAAACGCTAGCTTTATTTCTGTGTCTAGCTGACACGTACGCATGTACGTATACACTCACGCATGAATTTTTAATATTTGACTTTCGCCTTAACTTCCTCAGCGACGCCACCCCATTTGAGCTTGTAAACACGTGAACGCCACTGTATGAGAGGATCCAAGACAGCCTGAAGGAAAAGGTACGGTCTCGTGATTTCGCTGAGCAACCAACCACACACAAACTCAAGTTTGTTAAAAGGCAGCGGACCGTTTTGCACTACACACAGTAACGTCCAATCGAACATAAACCACAAAAGTATGTGTACCAAATAAAAAACTAAAGAATCCCACTCGAACAAGACGCTGGCCGCCCAGGAAGCGAACCCACCTAGAACGAGGCATTCACTCAACGGTTCGAGAACAATGGTGGTAGGCAGCATTGCTACCCTCAATTTAGCCCATCGTCGTAGTCGCGCTTGGAAGGAATCAACCGCACAGTGGCCACTGTTCTGTAGCGCCGGCTGCGAGGAGACTGTGATGCGCCAGCCGCGGTCAGTCAATGATTTCGCATAAAAAAAATCCTCTGCCAGATAAATGCCGAATGCTTTTAGACCACCGACCTCGTCCAATGTGAATTTTTTCAGGAGTGCTGACATACCGGTATGACAGTTTATCCTGAGCATATCCGCAGCCAGGTACATCCGTGACTGCACCGTACCGAAGAAGATCTTTTCGTATGCGGCAGCGAAACCTTCGCGGTCACAGGTAAACGGCATCTGATGAACCAAAGCCACTTTATCCGTCATATGATAGACCATATCTAGTAGAGTGTCCTCCTTCATGCGTATGCCACTGTCGCTGATCAGCACGAGTTCGTACTTAGCGGCTTCGTACGCCGGCTGCATGTTGTTGATCTTTGGATTCACCCCTACTTTACAACCACCGACGAAGAGCGTGGCCTCGACTTCCGGATACTTCTCGACGAGCTTGTGCACCAGCATCAGCACGGGATCGGAATCATCCTCGACACAAAACAGGAGCTCATATCGGGGATACTCCATGGTGAAAAAGGTCTCGAGGTTACCGAATAGATTTGGGTCAACCCCCATCAGGGGTTTTATCACAGATACCCCTGGCAGCGGTGTCTCGTAGCTCGGCGCCTGATTCATCTTCCGATGCAACTTCCAACGACCAGCAATCAATGCCAGCAAGTGAACCATCCACATACCTGACCAGAATATCATGAAAAATATTGCGAACCCATAAAGAGTATATAACATGGAGTTCATTTTCCAAGGAGCAAGAGAGCGAGGGCTTTATGCCACCGCAATCTAACATGCCGGCGTATTCAAACCGGCGGCACCTCCTTCCTTCTTTTTGCCCTGCTTTCTTTCCACTACTTCTTGCCTTGACCGGATAACCTCGTGCGGACACATCACGGGAATCTTTGTCCTACGTCGAGTGACGCGGCCTGATCGAGCATCACTGTCGTTTTCATAGTACGACGGCGGCGACGGCGACGACGACCACGACGACGACGACGACGGCAACGTGCTCGCCTCTTGCAACACATTCACGCTCCGGTCCACTCCAGCTCGCTTAAACCACGATAACCTCTTTGACTCGCACCGACGAGCGCGTCAACTGCGCGATTCGTCCGTGTTGAAGCAACTTGTTTCTTGCTCAGAATAGGATTTCATCTTCCATCGACAAGTGAACGGTATAGTTAAACCGTGATTGGATCGCATTGTTACAGATTTCACCACCCCAAATACGTCACTATTCCCCGCAACCACATTTCATAACATTGATACTCTTCCTTTCTATCGACACTGGCAAATCGCGCACTGTCATAACTCTTGACGTTCTTGGGTCGCTCGAATCAAACTTGGTTACCTTATTCTTCGCGCTTTGTGTCACGCGAATTAAACAAGAGAGAGAAAGAGAAAAGGGTGGAGGAGGGGATAAAGAGGAAGGGGGAGAGAGAGAGAGAGAGAGAGAGAGAGAGAGAAGCGGAACTATCTGTCTCACCACAGAATGCTTCCCGATGTGACCAGATGCGACGCGCGCAATAACACATCTCATCGACTACTCCCCTCTCTCATCTTCACCGTACGTAGTACGTAGAAACCAACACCTTTATTTCGTCACGAATGACTCACTAATATCTGACGCACATTCTCTCGTATTGATATATATACACTTGATACGTATCGCTTCTCGATTATTTTCAATTATCGAGAGAAAAACATCCCGTGTCGATGATTCGGATTAGCAGCACGCACGCAACGATTCGTGGAATGCGTGAAGGAGAATCCAGCTCAGCCCTGCGTGCTCAAACTTAGTAAGCCCACTCTTGAGCGTTTTGCGACAAATATATCTCGTAATACTCGAAAGACCGCCAGTTAAACTTATTTTCATCCGATACTATTTAAAAAAAATTTTATCGTATTACTCTACAACTAAGCAGTTTCTGCTGTTAGTTGGATTAGTCGGATAACGAATAGAGTAGCTTTCAAGGCCCGTCTACAATACACGGAGTAAGAAGTAAGAGTAAGAAATTGACCAATCACAGTCGAATGTGAGAAGAATAATCGACTGTGATTGGTCAATTTCTTATTCTTACTTCTTACTCCGTGTATTGTAGACGGGCCTTCAGATGCAAACGCCGCCTACATTTACTTTCGATTTCTGAAACTAACGAAATTCACATTTTGTAGCAGTCGATAAAACTAATTGAAAAATTTCTACATATATTCAGATAATAAAATGTTTGTGTAAATCCGAATCCACAATAGGTGTTTCAAGCCTTAAGCCGTAAGAAATTGACCAATTACAATCGAATGCGAGGAGAATAATTAATTGTGATTCGTCCATTCCTTATGGCTTAAGGCTTAAAAAATCTATTGTATATAGATCCGGGGTAAGTCCGGATCTACAATAGGTGTTTTAAGCCTTAAGCCGTAAGAAATTGACCAACTACAGTCAAATGTGAGGAGAATAATTGATTGTGATTCGTCCATTTCTTATGGCTTAAAGCTTAAAAATCTATTGTAGATCCGGGGTAATGCCGGCATAATGCATGCACGCGTGCAATAGCATAAGGCCTGGGACTCTATTCTTGAAAAGAAACGTATACGAAAGTCTAGGGAAATGCTACAGTATACGTTACGTATACTATGGTATTTCCCTAGACTTTCGTATACGTTTCTTTTCAAGAATAGAGCCCCTGTTCTTTTTAGTTAAATTTTTGCACTAGTTCATCTTTCTTCCTTTTCTCTTCAAGAGGAAAGAAGAGGAAGAAAGATGAACTGGGGCAAAAGTTCAGCCAAAAAGAATAGGCCTATATTATCACTATGATGTCCAATTCACTCTGCACCTGACAAGTACAGTGAGTAGTGACCAAAGACATAGAGAATGGACTGCGCGATCCGTATCTAATAGCGTTTTCGGCCCGATTGGGTTTGCATCAACCTTGGTTGGATTAATCTTTCCTATTGGTTGACGTCAGCTGCTCTACCAATGGGAGAGCACAAAACGCCATTAATCCAACCCAGGGTACCTATCATAGGTTTGTTCGCGTCGCATGCTTCAACATGCTCCTGCCATAGTTCCTACTCACTCTAATAAACACATTGAAGTGAGTAGGAGCTATGATAGGAGCATATAGGAGCACGTTGGAGCATGCGACGCGGACAAACCTCATAGAACAAGTCGGAATCGATTCCGATCGGAATCATTCAATTATTTCCTAGATTTCTATTGTGTTTTCTAGGGAAAACGGAATAATTCCGATATCTGATATTCCGAATCCATTCCGACATATTTCATGATAGGTATCCTGATTGGTGCAAACCTGGCCGGGCCGAAAACGGTGTAAGTAGTGTATCAAATGTGATCGACAATAATGAGAGAGAGATCCGTGGGAGACGGCCAATCCCCCTCTCATTCTCTCTCCCATTACACCATTGAATGGAAAGAGATAGAAATGACCGTCTGCCACGGTCCCTCTCTCTCATCCCTATCGACCATTTTGACACACGGATCGCGCAGTCCATTCTCTGTACGCCGGTATTCATAGTCAGATCTTATATTCAAGACCGTCTTAAGTACACTCTTAAGAAGTCATGAACCAATCAGAAGGCTGCATTAGGGTCTTAAGACATTACTTAAGACGGTCTTGAAATAAGAACCGACTATGAATACCGGCCTACGTCTTTGGTAGTGACTGCCAATGACAGCACATCATATTCAAGCATTTTGGATCTCAAAGGCCGGTATTCATAGTCAGATCTTATATTCAAGGCCGTCTTAAGTACGGTCTTAAGGAGTCACGAACCAATCAGAAGTCTGCATTAGAGTCTTAAGACATTACTTAAAGGCCCGTCTACAATACACGGAGTAAGAAGTAAGAGTAAGAAATTGACCAGTCACAGTCGATTATTCTT